GTGAAAATACCAAAAAAGGAGTCAGACGGACCTGCGGTCTGGCAGCAATCCTGAGCGATCCTGATGGCACAGACAGCTTGGAGATTACCGAGAGGTGGTAGGACCTTAGAATTAACCTAAAAATCACCCTGCTAGCCAGGGACTGCATGGAGGACTGTAAACGGTGGCTGGGGAACAAACAGAGAAGTTGGAGAGAAAGGTGGGCTGAGCTGTGGACTTTTGCCAGTCTGGAGGGCACAGCCATTTTGAAGGTTCAAAAAGCAGCTTGACTATTTTGGATATTTAAAGAGACAGCGCTCTCGCAGATTTCTGGGGCTTAAGAACACATTCTGCTTTCTAGCAACCCCAAGGACACTCAGGACCTGCCAAGACTGACGAGGTATGACATTCCTCTTGTTACTCTTGGTGAACAGAGGTGCGACCGTCCTCCACTCCCACCTACCTTATGGGCCCACAGGAACTCCATCACAGTCTGTGTGCTCAGACGGAGCCTGGGTGCCCTGCCCTGTCCTCCACCCATTTTTGTTTTCTCTTTTTTTATTTATATTTTTTCTTTTTATACTTTCTTTTTTTCTGGTGATTAGTTTGCTTATTATTTTTCTGTTTTAAAATAACTTATGTTACTAATATTTTTGTCCTTTTTATTATTATTCTTAATCTTCCCCTCCCAGGTCCTAGTATTCAGCATTTTTTCTTTTCCCTGTGCCTGGTTGAAATTTTTATTTTTTTTTAAATTTAAGGTTTTTTTTTTTCCTTTTCCCACTTTTTTCTTGTGGTTAACCCTGTTGCTTGATTTTCTTTTTGCATTTTCCCATATATTTTTTTCATTTATTATTCTCCTTCTCTAATTTTTTTTCTTAGTGCCCTATCCCCAGATATTGCAAGTTTTCTTATTTTTTCTTCCTTTTTTTTTTTTTTTCCACGTTTTTCTTTTTTTGGTTACTGCTCCTGTGTGATTACATGGTGTGTTTTTCATCCATGGACTTTTATTACATGGTGTGTTTTTCGTCCATGGGCTTTTAGTTTTTGATGGTTATTCAATTGTAAATTGTGTCTAATTGAATAGGAGACAACAACAGTCCCCATAAGACACAACTACACCCACACCTCCTGAAAGTTCACTTACTGAGTGAGAACCACTACCTCCTTCTCCACCAACAGGCCAACGATAAAAAACCACCAAGAGTGAGGCGGGGCAAGATGGCGGACTAGGCAGAAGGATTGCACAGACCCTCTTCAACAAAGAAAAGGGAAACCAATTAACACAGACACAGAA